CAGAGCTCTCACTGTAATAGACTAAATTATTTATTTTGTAAGGAAAGCCAAATGGTTTCCAAATATCGGAAAATGCCAAAAATTGTCGACAATTTTCGTACAATCGGAAAAGCTTCTTATTACTTATCACTTTTAGTAAATTATAAGAACCTGATATTAAAGCACCGGCTGAATCCACAATTCTTAGTCCGAATCTTGAGAGCACGAGACACAAACATAGGAAATGTTTCAATCTATTGCACTTCAGCTTCAAAGTCGACATAAGTTTTTATAAGCGAGGCTAAGAAATGTTTGGTGTAAGCAGAGCTGTGCCGTATTGATTAGTTAGTTAGTTAGTTAGTTCTTCTTTATTAATAATTTAAAAAACATACAATCATTATCCATACTTTATACATTTTTTTTTTTTATTTAAAGCTATGACTAATGTCGTCAGCTTTACCTAGCGATTGCCTATTTTTCTAATCCCTCTAATCTTGTAGTGAGTTTGATGTTATAATTAGTATATATTGTTGGTGTGCATACATAAGTGCGGTTAAAAGATCTCATCTATAATTTGTTGCCTATATTTTATCGCTTGATTAAGATATGCGCATAAATTTAGCCAGTTCATTCCATTAAGGATACCATGCAATTCTGTTTGGCTCAAAGTCGTTTTCCCAAAATACTTGTATCTTATTTCCTTTAAAATTGGGCAAATTGCGAGAAAGTGTTTAACGTTTTCCGTTTCCTTTTATTACATAGGCTGCAAACAGATAGTGCACCACTTACGTAGGGTAAATAATTGAGTTTGATGAGTTCAGTACGAGATTTGAAAATTGAACGAATATTTTCCACAGTATATTTATCATTAAAATAATTCATTTTCCCCAGATTGTAAGTTAGTTCTCTGTATGTTTGTCTAGAGTAGCTTGTTTTGGCCTTATAAACAAATCGGTCTCTATCACTTTGATCCTGTTTTAGGAGAATGCGCTGCTGCCAGTCAATCCAACCATTCATGTCCTCTAAATTCAAATTTTCTTCATGTTCCTCGGCTAAATTTAACCATGCCGCGAAATACGAACACCTTCTACCTAAAAAGTATGTCGCAAGCCGTTTGGTAAGCCTGTTATCTGTGTGTTTCATAACAGCGTTAATATATTGAAAGTGGGATTTTAAAGTGCCGATATGTAGTGTTGATAAGCCCGTTTCCAGATAAATTGCGTAGTCTGGCGTGTTGACAGGTAGGCGAAAAATACGTTTGATAAAATAAGTCAGCAGTTTTTCCACCTCATTAAATTTTTCAAAACCCCAAACTTGGGAAGCATAATTCATAATTGAGTTGACAGCAGCTTGGAAAACTTTGTATTTAACTGAAAGAGCTACCATATCATTTCCTAATGCTCTTCTCCATGTGCTGTTTATTGCTAGTTTTGATTCTTTTAACCTTTTATTAATGTGTGTTTCGAACGTTGCATTATATGTTATCCAAACGCCTAAATACTTATATGTCTTAACTACTTCCAATAATTTACCGTTAATGTTCCACTTTTCATCGCATGCAAGACGCCTTGCATATTTTTTAAATATTATTATTTTTGACTTTTCTATGTTGACTTCTAAATTCCAGGTATTACAGTAATCGTTCAGTCTATTTATCATTAGCTGCAAGGCTCTTGGTGACTCTGCAAACAGCACCACATCATCTGCATACATCAGAGCCTTTATTAGCATGCCATCAATCATGATGCCACCGTTTAAAAAGTTAACCAGGTCATCTAAAAATAAAGTAAATAAAAGTGGACTTAAAACACAGCCTTGCTTAACCCCAGACTGTGTAAGAAACCAATCAGAGATAATATTTCCATCCCACACTGCTGCTTTACTACCATGATACAAGCTCCAAATAATCCGCATCATTTTTGTTGACACTCCTAAGTTCCTAAGCTTATAGAAGAGCGCATTTCTTAGTATTGAATCGAACGCCGCCTTGAAATCCACGAAAAAGACGTAAAGTTTTTTGTTTCTGTCAATATACATTTTTGCAATATTAGTTAAAATAAAGATGTTATCCACAGTTGAATACTTTTTTCTGAAACCTGATTGAAATTCACTTAACAGTGCATGGTTATCAACCCATTCTTGTAGCCTCTCGTTCAAAATACTTGCAAATACTTTCGCCATGGCATTGTTAAAAGATATACCCCTATAGTTTTCTGGATTCTTTGTGTCGCCTTTTTTGTACAATGGGAAGATAATCGACTTGCGAAAAGAATCAGGTACATTGCCGCTGTTGTAGATATAATTAAATGATGCTGTCATATTTTCAATAAATAGATCCGAAGCATATTTAAGGAATTCCATGGGTACTCGATCCTCTCCAGGAGCTTTATTATCCTTACACTTGTGCAATATTTTTTTGACTTCTGCTACTGTAATCGTTCTATCTAGTTCACTCATTTCAAGTATGGGCATCTCATAACTTAAACTCTCATTATGTATGCTGTTGTTTAGTATCCGCTCAAAGTGTTTACTCAGTTCCAGTGCGTCTAGCTTTGCATTTTTTATATGGCTCGTCCCGTTCAGTTTTCGAACTTTGCCCCAAAAGGATTTACTGTCCTTTGCTGTAGCTATTGAGATAGCTAGCTCATTATAGTAAGTCACTCTTTTATGCTGTAGAAGTTCTTTAAATCGTTTATTTGCTTGACTGTACTTTGTCATGTCTTCCTTTAATCCTGTTTTTTTAACTCTTCTTAGCCATCGAAAAGATGTATCTCTTAATATTTTACATTCCGAGTCAAACCATTGGTTTTGTTTTACGCTAGTTTTTTGCTTTTGTTGCAGAGGCTTTGCTGCATTATTTATGCAATCCATTAAAAACTCAATTCCATTTGTTGAGCATATTGTCGCTCTATTTACTCCAATAATTTGTTGATTAAGTGTTAAATTATATATTTTCTTGATACGTTTGTTCCAGTATAGTTTAGGTAACAACTGTAGACCTGAATTTTCCTCCGAAATAATTTTCCCGGCGTGGATACTTACTGTAATCGGCTGATGGTCTGAGTAAATAAAATCCTGCACTTCGAAATTTTTGATTCTATTCAACCAGATCCCCGCTCCTAAACCATAGTCAATCGTGGTTGCAATAGTTCCTCTGTGAAATGTATGCTTGCCATCTTTGTCGCCCTCGCATCTTCCGTTCAGCACAGTAAGACTTACCGTATTGCAGATTTCAAGTAGTCTTCTGCCATTTCTATCTACTTTGTCATCCATAGCTTTGCGCTGTGCACTTAGTCCACTGGCTAGTAAAGTTGGGTTAAATTCCAAACATTGCTCCTTACCAATTCTGGCATTACAGTCTCCTACAACTAATATATTTTCGCACCCTAATTCGAACAGTACATCACTTAAGTTTTTAAAATCCGCATCCCAATTGTTGCAATTAATATATGTTGGAATAATGTACGCCAGTGTCTCTTCAAATTTTAGCTTAACTACCATCATATTCAATATTTGTGTAAATCGTATATTCATTTTATCTGCTAAGTTCTTCTTTATTCCATATAACATACCGCCACTAGCTCTTCCTTTGATTGCGACCCGAGTTGCTGGAATCCACCATAATAAATACTTTTCAAATACTTTATCAATCTTCTCCAAGGATTTTTCCATGAACGTTTCAAATAAAAAGAACAGATCAAATGAGTTTACATAATTTATAAAATCGCAGTAATTAATTTTCTTTATTAGACCTGCTACATTAAATGCTAAAATATTTAGCATTTCTTTTGAATTTGAATCTAGACTTAAACTACAGCTGACAACATTGTCTTTATTTAGTTTTTTTGAGAATTAATTGTTTGCAAAATCTCCCAATATGTTACATTTATTGACTCCAGGTTATTGCCATAAAGTGCCTGCAGTACATCCCTTCCATTACTGCTACCGCATTTCAGCTCCTTTTCTTTATTCCAATACAACCATTTGTTGTCAATTTTCATACGATCCTCTCTAACTATTATATTACGACTTTGATCTACAGCACGCAAATTTTGTTTTAGTTTAAGCATGACCCGTTTATCTGATTGTTGTTCTGCGGTTAAGTCCCTCTCAATTGATATTTCCGTATTAGCGAGTTTTTTAATATTGTTGAAAATATTAAATATACACTGTTCTGCTTGGAACTCTGCAACGACTCCTATTTTGTCGTGTTTCTCAAATATTTTTCTTACAGAAGCTATTTGCACATCATCGACGTTCAGAACTTCAGCACATAATTTCCGAATCGACAATGTTGGATTGTCAGTTTTTTTCAGACCCTTGATAACAAGCGATTTTCGTTTTCGTGCGTTTATAATATAATTAATATTACGTGCATCCCGTTCGCGTTGTTGTTCGAGCTGCGTCACCTTCTGTTTTAGCACACGATTCTCTGCCGTTAGCTCTGTTATCTTACTAGAGAGTTCGCCCACTTCCGACACAATCACCTCTAAATCAGCTTTTGTTGGCAAGTTGCTTAGCTTTTCATCCAACAAGTCAGCCAATGATGCTCTCATTAACCCCATCAGTTCTGTTATATGCATATTCCCTACTTGCATTGTAGATTTCGCCTGGTTTATTTCTTCTGGGGAAAGTTCAGTCAATGGTCTTTTAGCTGCTGAGGTTCTTACTTGTATTTTTGAAACTTGTGTACTCGGTTTATTTGGTGTTCCTGCTGATGACATTTTGGAAGTTGTACTTTAAGTTTATCAAATTCAGTTTTTGATGCTTCGCCTAAAAGTCTATGAGAAAATTTATATATATATATAACAGCTTAATACTTTTTTTAAAAATTAGAATTTGTTAGCATAGACTCAAACCACTCTGAGCTTTACTACGTATAATTCGCCTTACGTTCCACTTATTTTCAGCACTTTTATTTACAATTGGTAATTACAGTTTTTGCATGCAACGCTATCTTGCCTGCAGAAGTCTCAATTGTATAAGATTGTACTAAACTTCACTTTTAACCGCTCACTTGAATGCGTTGCAATGTCTTGAATGTTTATTTATTAATACCACCCAATTGTAACCCGTTTTTCGCAATATAATTCACTTT